AATAATTATTATTTATTATTGGGAAGCCACCCAGAATTGTGTTTCGTCAGATGGGTGGCTGCAAACATACAACGAATACACAAACAAATAGTGGTTAGCAAGCATATCTGGCTGGCTGATAGGTTTTCCAAGTCTGCTAGACAAGTGGGCTGCCTTCGTACCAACTTGTGCAAACATCCCCTCTGTGCCTTCCCATTTGCACTGCTAATTAGTGGCTCCTGTTAAAACAATGTCAGATTTAGCCGGAACATATTTGCATTGGAGATATCTGGGAATTCCCTTTGAGATTCAAGGAAATAGGCAGAGATCAACACTTGGCAAACTCTGTCAGCAGGAAAGCCATTAATGCCGCTGCTGTGTACTATATCCTCAAGGATGTGACCATCCAGCTTACACTTCTCTTCATTAATTAGTATTTTCATAATTTTAGTTTTATACAAAGGCATACATTTTTCTAAATACCAATTAGTCTATATAACATAGCCAGAACAGACTTTTCCTATCTCTTTGCTTCTCTCTATCTTAATCTCTTGGATTTGGATTTTCTCTGCCTTTAAACATGTCTTTTCCTTCCTTAGGCAAGAGTTACTTAATCTAAAAAAAGAAAGGATAAAAAAAAGAAAGAATGAGAAAAAAAAGAAAAAGAACTGAGGCACTTGATAATGCTGACTAAATTACTAATTCATCATTTTTAGTCAAATAGAAACAGCTTTTGATCCTCTTTGAAGGAAGAGACTTTTGAGCTGGAGCCTGCCAGCCTGTGAATTTTCTCACTTGCATTTCACTTAAACTCTAATGTTATTATACAAAGAAGTGAAATAGCTTTGGGCTGGTAGATGAGGGATGTAACTTCTGGGACATGAAGCAACATTGATAATCCTTTTGCGGTTATTAATGTGTGATGCCTAGGCCTCCATTCTGAGAACAGGAGGAATTGTTAGGAACCCATTTTGTTCACGATAGACTTAGCTGAAAGAAGAGGGTCCATTTTAGCTTATCAAAGGACAAGAATTTCTACTCAACAGGGCAAACTTATATTTCTGGCCTTCCGAAGCCTCTGGGAGGCCCGTTTTTCACCGTCCCCAAGCCTCCGCACGAGCCCTGCATTTACCTGGGATACAAAATGGCTGTGTAGGATACATGGGAGAGGTCGGTGGGGTGGGGCAGGGCCAACCAGGGGTGGGATTTGCTGGTTCGCTGAACTGGCCATAAAATTACCTACCAGTTTGCCTGAACCAGGGAGAACCAGTAGCAGCCCACCCCTGCATTTATTCATATTCTGCATTAATGTTTAGAGTTTTATAGAGATTTTTAATTATTCCTTAAGATCATAGAATGACCTCAGTTCTATATAATTCATTAATGAAACAAAGAGCTTTTAATCTTATGAAATGCAAATCCTTTGTTTATGCTTCATCCATCCATTATGTTTTCTCCACTTCCGTTTTTCCCTTTTGTGCAGCTATTTATTCTGTTCTTTAAATATTAACACATAAAATATTAATTTAAGAAAAAAAAATAGCAAGTTTCCTTTTCTGATTTGTTTTCACCCAAAAGGAAGTTAAACCAGCTTCCATCCTACTCAAACCATCAGTCAAGGAGAGGTAACCTCCCCCTGCCCTTCTGAATAGCCATTTCTTAACTTTTCTCCATGGACTGAAATTCCACCACTCATGTATAAGACAGAAGAATTTACATCATGGGAGGAATCTCAACAAGTGTAGAAACTTTGGAGAACATAAACAGGGGAAGGGGATTTTTTTTTTTTAAATGTAATCCAAGGGTTGAGCATACCAAATGGGACCAAATACAAAATTTGGATGACTGTTGGATTGGAGAAAACAGGGAAATAAAATGTCAGAGTATATTCATGAACTAGAATAGAGCTTGTGTAACAAGGTCAGCCAACGAATAGGCATAGCAACTAAGTCAGCCAATGAGGACTGTTTTGGAAACTGAAACTAGAAGTAGCTTAGGCTGGAAACTGAAACTAAAAGTAGCCTAGGCAGGGCTCTATGTTAAGCTCTGCAACTCTGCAGCGATGTTGGAACTCTGAGTCTGTCTATTGAAGATGAAACTAACTTGCTTGCTTGCTGAAGACTGGAGCTCTGCTCTGAACTTGCAACGTCTTTCCGTTTGAGTTTGCTCCATGTTGGAGAAATCTACAACTGGTTTGTAAAATCTACTTATGTTTATAAAGATGTTAAATGAAGCATCAGCTATCTGCGTTTATTTTTCGGGTGCTGAATTATCGCTGCAAAACTCCCAATATAAAAGACAACAGAAGTTTTGTAAAATGGATAGTACTCAACTTACAACCATTCGTTTAGCAACTGTTTGAAGTTACAATCAGCAGTGGGATCCCACCTGTTCCCTTGGCGATTCAGTGATTGCGTGTGCATGCACCTAATGCACACACACCGATTGTACGTGGGCAGCTTTCCCCACACCAGCTGAGAGGATAAAGAAGAGAAAAGCAAGGGGCGGGTGAGAGGGCCGATCCTGCACTTTTCTTTTCTTTCTCCTCTCAGCTGATTGTTGGAGGCTTTTTTTTTTTTACTACCGGTTCAGCTGAACCATCCCAACCAGTAGCATACCACCACTGGTTACAATGGCACTGAAAAAAAAGGGATCTAAGACCATTTTTCACATGAACGATGAAACAAAATTAACGTTAAAAAGTTATGGTATTTATGTAGTTACATATCAAGCACATCTAAATTGTTATTAAGGTAACCAAAATATCTTGCAATCCCCAACCCATGATGATACCCAACCCTAGACCAAAGTGACTTTTTGAGACTGATATTAGTTTATATGAATCTTGCTTAAATGTATAGTCTTTCAATTCTGCATACAGGGAGTCCACAACTTACAACCATTCATTTAGTGACCATTGAAAGTTACAACAGCACCGAAAACGGTCACTTACGACTGTTTTTCACACTTACGAAAATTGTAGCAACCCCATGGTCATGTGATCAAAATTCAGACGCTTGGCAACTGGTGTGTATTTATGCTGGTTGTAGTGTCCTGGGGTCAATCTTCCGATGAGCAAAGTTTAATGGGGAAACCGGATTCCGTTTACAACCATGTTACTAACTTAATCACAGTGATTCACTTAACAACTGTGGCAAGAAAGGTCATAAAATCAGGCCAAATTCACCTAACAAATGTCTCACTTAAGCAACAGAAATGTTGTGGTTGTAAGTCAAGGACTGCCTATATATCTAAAGTGCTGCAAACAACATACACTCAAATATTCGCCTCTCACCGAGAATTTTGGATCTGTAATAATGCCTCAAGAAATTAATGCTTGAGGAATAACAGAATGTAAAATGTAATTGATAAAATTGTAGAATTGTTCTAAAATTGATAAAAAAATCTTAAAACTATATGTTTGTTATACTAAAGCATCATGCATATGCACACATATATCTGCGGTTCTTTGTATAGATAAAGAGAGGGGGAGAGACGAAAGGACAGTAATGGAAAACAAAAATGTAAATATCTTGTCAGCTCTGGAAAAGTCTAACCAGGCCTGTTGAAAAAACGAACAGACAATATAATTGTAGGTTGTGCTTGAGGATTTATATAGAGCAGGAGCATCCAGCCTTGGCAACTCAAAGACTTGTGGCCTTCAACTCCTAGAATTCAATCATGCTGGCTGGGGAATTCTGGGAGTTGAAGTCCACAAGTTTTAAAGTGGGCAAGCTTGGGCACTTCCAGATTTAGAGTCTAAATGTTGGAAAACCATATGGGATTCTGGAACCAATCACAGGTCATGTCAATATAAACAATATTCTCAATTTTCAACTATCTAGCTCCCTTATCTACTACAGGTAGTCCTCCATTTATGATTGGTTGCTTAGAGACCATTCAAAATTACAACAGAACTAAAAATAGAGTATTTATGACTTAGATATGTGATTCTGACAACTATCAGAACATTTTGGGTACTTGGTAATTGGCTACATTTACAACTATTTGCAGCATCCTGTGGTCATGTGACTGTGATTTACAGCAGTAGCACTTAAGACTTATAGACTGCTTCACAGTGCTTTACAGTCCTCTCTAAGTGGTTTACAGAGTCAGCCTATTCCCCACAACAATTTGGGTCCTCGTTTTACCAACCTCAGAAGGACGGAAGGCTGAGTCAACCCTGACCTGCTCAAAATTGAACTCCTAGAGTGAGCAGTGAGTTAGCCTGCAGTATTGCATTCTAACCACTGCGCCATCACAGCTCTTATTTATTACGTTCGGTTTTTTTGGCCAGAAAGTGGCATTTACTTCCAGTTTTTCTGGCAAAAAAAAGCTCATTGCAGATGATGGGTTCACTTAATGACCACCACAAAATTTGTCATAAAATTGGGTTGGTCTTGTTATGATTTCCGTCATGACCAGCATGATTCTGGGCTCAACTAAGGATTAGCTATATATTGAAAAGTCTGTTCCACTAGTCCAGATTGACTGAATTACAGGTTCTTAAGATTTATGTAAATGTCGTCCAACAAATTTGAAGAGGCTACTTTAGGTTCTCCATTCTGCTTGAAGTTCTCTGTGACAGAAACTCTCAAGTGTTAATTATACATTTCAGCGTTTCTTCCACCTGACACTCCCTAATGCCTGGAAGGCAGATTCAGTAGAATCTAGCAACTGATTTTTGGAGAATGAGAGTCAGCAAGGCTATAATAATCAAGGATTTTAATATGATGGGGTGTCACTGAAAGTCTAGGTTGCAATTAGTAATTATATGGTGCAGAACATGGCCTGTGGTTTTCCAGAGAATGTGCAGAAGCTTTGGGGATTTCAGTAATAGACACTTGGATATATAGTTCTTACATTAGCATTTGAAGCAGGCTAGCTGGAATATTTGTCAAACAGGATAATAAAATACCATGGTATTTGCAGCTTCTAAATATTTAAATGTTGGACCTCAAAGATTCTTCTGCAAGTATGTCAAATGTGGAATTCTCCTCCCTTCCCATTTTCACTTACAGATTGAGGTCCTGCCTGAAATAATAGATGCGGTGGAAGGGAAGACTGAGGTATTTCTAGATGGTGGAATAAGAAAAGGCACAGATGTTCTCAAGGCCCTGGCTCTTGGGGCCAAAGCGGTGTTTGTAGGAAGGCCTGTAATCTGGGGTCTTGCATACCAGGTAATGTAAATCAGGAGTTCAGTTCTTGTTCTTGTCTGAAAGACATCTCTTTCCCCATTTTAGCAGTCATTGGAGTGCTTCTGGACAAAAACAACAAAGTGACAATTATAATGTTAGGAGGACAACCCTAAGGATCTGACTGGTTAAACTGCATAGCTGGATCCTGAAGCCACTACAATATTGGTATTAATAACTTGAAGGAAGACATGAAGAAAATAGAAGACAGATATGAAGAAGACATGTGTGAATGAAGACATGAAGACATAAATTTGAAGACGGCAACATAATATATTGGATTTACGAATGTTCTACATAGCTAAGGATGAACTTAACAGATTTGAGAAATGGGGTAAAAACAATGGCTTTCCAATTTGTATTTCAGATTTTCTCTTACCTTATTATTTGTTTAACAATGATTTTTTTTAAAGACACAACCCACTGGCCTCATAAATTCCAAGCCAGAACACTATGGTACACAAACCAAAGTGCCAAAATTCATCACACGCTAATCCCAAACCAACCAAACCATATTATGGGTAACTTTAGGTTAGTCTATATATAGAGAGAGCACCATGTATGTTAAGTGATAACTTCAGAAAAATAAGCTCATGAGGTCAATTAAATGACTTGGTATGCTCTGCCATTTCCCCCAATGATTCAAGAGGAACCATTAGAAGGTTTCAGCTTCTTTTTCAAAGCACTAAACGAAGGGACCCGAATTTGTCAGTGAGCTAAGCTGGAGTTGTGGAGAGAAAAGAAAGAAGGATCTACTGGACAAATATTTATGTTTGTCAGTTAGAACAAATCTAGGACCACTTACATTTACATTCATACAATGTGCTTTAATTTAATTAGGGCGAAGATGGTGTGAAGGAAGTTCTTCAAATACTGAAAGAAGAATTCAAATTAGCAATGGCGCTCTCTGGTAAGATGCAGAGCATATAGGTAGTCCTTAACTTACAACAATTTGTTTAGTGACCATTTGAAGTTGCCAAGGAACTGAAAAAAGTGACTTATGACCGATCCTTATGCTTACAGTTATTGCACCATTCCCACAGTCAATGTGATCAAAATTTGAGTATTTGGCTACTAGCATGTGTATTTATGCTGGTTGTAGCATCCCAGAGTCATGTGACGGCCATTTGTGAATTTCCCAGCAAGCTTCCAAAAGGAATGAGGGAAGCCAGCTTCACTTAATGTAGATTGATTCACTTAGCGTTGGTGATTTGCTTAGCAACCATGGCAAAAAAAGATTGTACAACTGAGTGTGATTCACTTAATGCCTTGCTTAGCAAGATAAATTCTGGTCCCAATTGTGGTCATAAGTCGAGGACTATCTATATTGGGATTATTTTATTTACCCTTTGTATGTTGATTACACTTGATAGGAAAATAGGATTTGTACAATGGAATGCTATATATAGGTTACACAGGCATCTAATGTTTGGTGGCTTGCGTATCATAAAACTTTCTCAGGATCTTTTACTTGATCTTTTCAAGTGCACTTATTTGGATTTTTTATACATAAATTATGAAAGCTATTACTTAGTTATAGTCTTCCCCTTCCTAAAAAGTTCATAATATAAGCCAACAACTATTTTTAATGAGATTCTGTAGGGCCAAACTAAGCCTGGCTATTAATATAGGGTTAAACTTGAAAGATTTCTAGAATCCAAATAGAATTAACTGAGATAATGGTAACAGAGCTTGTAAGTACAGGGATAAGAGAAGAGAACCTGCCATACTGTGTTTCCAAGGAAAGTTCTTTTGGCTATAGAATTTGTTTTATGAAAAATCCCAACATCTTTGAAGTAATGGCACTCAGAAATAAAGTTAATCTTATGTGGCATCTAAAAGAAAAACATTATGATACCAAATGGACCTCTTTAAGGAAGATTATTCCAAAAAGATACCGTAGCATTTGAGAAAAAAACATATTATTAGTTATTAGCCACTTATCCTTACAAAATAGAGCAGGAGATCCGATGATTTGTGTAAATACATACAGAAAACAAACAATTTCAAGACCATTATTAGAAATACTTGTTGGAGGCAATTATTTTGAATATAACTATTCATCTTTTTCTTGTCTAGGTTGTCCAAATGTAGAAGCAATCGACAGAACATTAGTCCGGAGAGTTCAGTGGGAAGCTTCCAAGATGTAGCTGCATCTGTTGTTTGAACCCCATCTTGTTGCATATTTCTTGTTGCTTGTCAAGAATTTGGAATTAAAAATAAATGAAAGCTTCCAGGACAAGATCTAGTTGAAACTACCAAAGCTGTTTCTTCTGAAAATATGTCAAATATATCTTTTTAATGACTGGTGTAGTCTATATTGGTATGTATCCTAAGAATGACTTTAGACATTTACAGTATATCCTCTTAAAAATCAGTGCTGAATGGATTTCATTACTTTTGAAGAATGTCGCACCGCCTCCAGTGGTCTTGGATAGAATTTTATAACTTTCATTAAACTAATGATGAAAGTTGTAAATTTTCTGATGGACTGAGAATTACAAAACTGCAGTTATAAATATTGCAACTGTTAGCAACGATGCTTTGAGATTGTTTGGCTCCCATGATTAGGAGCAGTTGATCTCTGAATTAACCGTAAGCAGCTGTTTATATAGCGCATAATATTAAAATAATATTTATAGTCTGAAATCCACAGAATGCTTCATAGTGATTTAAAGATTGAATCAAACCCAAACTGTAGTTGCTAAACTTAGTGCCCTAGCATTATCTTTCCCTTTGTCAACTACAATGCAGGAAAGCGAGGCATTTTTTTTTAGCCACAGGACTGCTGAGGTTACGAAGAAAGAGACCCATGCCAAATGCCTTTTTACATGCGCACACACAGTCGCAAGGGGAAATGTTTAGAGAGACCATTGGAATTATCCTCCACCTCAAATCTCCTCTAGCTTCAATGGCAAACATTAGATTAGTGATTCAGCTTTCCAGGTTTTCAAATAACCACCCGAAGTGTGCAGGTAGTAAGACAAACAGATCCAATGTGGCCTCCTTTGCTGACATTTACACGGCAACCAGAGCCTGTTGGGACCGACGCTGCTTCCCACAGCATCCTTAACTTAGAGCAGTCAGACATGCACATACATGGTTACTGAGGCTAGCTTTGTTATTTTTCCTTGAAGGATATTTACTTTTCTCCAACAAAAAATGTGTTTTTTTCCAAGTAGGTGTGTTGAGTCATCAAACTAGCAAAAGCACACTCAATTTTGTTCCGCTAATTATAATAGCGGTATGACCTACAAAGCATAACATGAAGTTCAAGTGCCAAATAAGTAAGACTGATCAACCTTCTTTAGTTTGTATGGAAGTGGGAATGAAGCAAGGGAGGATGGGAGAAAAACAGGGCTTGATCCATTTTAGCGCATACAGTTTTAGGAAAGAAAATATTTGGGGAAGTAGCCACTATGATTTTCTACTATCTTATTCTTGAAGAAGCATTAATGATATACTTATTGCAAACACGTCCTGAGTCTGGTTTTCAGAAATGGCATTAATTAAGCTCTCAGAATGTGCCCTATCTAAAGGTTAGATTGATTCAGAAGTAGATAGATTGAGAGCAAATTGATTTCCATCAACCGCTGCATGCTTCATGATGATACTCATTAGGAAAGGTGTTGTAGCAAAACTGAAATTCAACTTGCCTATAGCAAGTAAAGCTTGGAAATCATTCTAGAGGTCATCTAGTCAAAATGGGGGATTCTGGGAGTTGAACTCCACACATCTCACAGTGGCCAAGTTTTTTAAAAAAAAACACCGATCTTTTCCAACCCGGTGCACAGAATGTAAGAACTCTGTGCCAATTTTTGTCTGTCCACCCAGTCTATCTCACAGGATGTTGGGTGGAGATGAAAATGAGGGGAAAAAACACCTGTACATCATATTCATCTCTCCCAAAAGAATTATATAAATGGAATGTTGAGAAGTCTGATTTGGTTGCGAAGAAAGGCAAAGAGAAGCTATCGCATGAATAATTAATACTTAATTCAGGACAAGACGGGTGACCTTCAAATTTTTTAGCAAGGGGCTCTCTGCCCTAATGACTGGCTGGGTGGCTGTTGGTGGGCGGCCATGTGATCGGGTGGGTGTGGCTAGGTAGTCACGTGATCAGGTGGGCATGACTAGATGATCATGTGACTAGGTGGGTGTGCCAACTCAATGTCGCTTCTTTGTCCTAATTACCTAAAAAAGACATATACCAAAAAGTTGTTTATTATTTCATGCATTTAATACTTAAATAAAAGACTGGATGAAACCAGGCTTAATAGCAGTGACTGTGAGAGGGATCTTGGAGTCTTAGTGGAGTTTCTGATCAGTTACGTAATTCTTATTATTAAGGAATTAATCCCCTCAGAGGCTAATGGCTATATTATCTGATTTTCTCAATGGCTCTCCCTCGCAAGCCCTGAGTGGATTGTTTATCTAGCTTGCAACACTTTTATGAGGTGTGAAATGCTCTTGGCTGAATGCCCAGAACTTCAATTAAGCCTATTAAGAGCTTTCCCTTGCTGCTTGTGTTTCTGAGGTTATTGGGGGCTCTTTGAGCCTCACAGAGTCTTAGCTAGAGGCTCTCCCGAGTGGCTGTGAGCCCCCAGCAGCCCACCCCTGGGGCAAGGACATCACATAACATAACCTAAAAGAGCAGAAGATTTCAGGTGATTTCTAAATAACCTTGCTAAGATGCATTAACATTTCTGAAGCCATTTCAGTAGATCCAAACTGAGAGCATCAATATAATGAACATAAATAAGTAGCCAGATTCCTAATGACCCACTCCTGTAAAATCAGGTGTATTATAGCCAAATCGGGTGTATTATAGCCATTTTAGGCGAGGCAATTAATTATACAAAGCTAACTCAGATGGAAAACCAGCTAAAACTTTACTCATCTTAAAGGATTTGTGGCAAATGTATGCCTCTGGAATTCTATCAAGTTATATAACTAGTAATATGCTTTCTTATAATTTCAGTTTGGCTAACCCAAGATAATCAGCAGCTGTCATGCACGGGGAATCAAAATACTGTTCTCCTTGCAACACTGTGTACTGAACTCTAATTCTTCCCCTTTCCCACTTGAATTTCAGTGTCAGGGCATCATACACAAGAGCTAAGAATCTTATCCAGTAGGAGAAGGCAGAGGTGGTATTCAGTAGGTTCTGACCAGTTCTGAAGAACCGGTAGCAGAAATTTTGAGTAGTTTGGAGAACCGGCAAATGCCACTCTGACTGGCCCTGCCACATTTATTCTCTGCCTTCCAAGTCCCAGCTGATTGGCTGGGCCTTCTTTTGTTGCCCTGCACAGGAGAATGGAGCTGGAAAGCAGGTTAGTGGGATTTGGCAGTAACCTTCCCCCAGGAGTGAGGAGGGAATGGGGATTTTGCAGTAACCTTCCCCTGCCATGCCCACCAAGCCACACCCACCAAGTCATGCCATGCCCACAAGTCATACCCACAGAACCGGTAGTAATTTTTTTTGAATCCCACCACTGCGAGAAGGGCTAGCGAGCACTGAACTGTAAATTTTATAAATATGTAAAATTTAATAATGAAAAATAGGAAGCTGGCATAAAGGACTTCCGGTTTCATCATTTCCAATAATATTCATTCTGGGAGAAGTTGGAGGATGTTAATAAATGAAATGTGTGCTTTAAGCACTATTTTAGCACCCAGAAGTGCTAAAGGGTAATACGACACTTACCCAGAAGGATGAAAGCTCATGATTTCTCTGTCACAAAGCCATCTTCCACAGTCTGAACTCCTGGGCTTAGCAACTCTTCTTTATCAAGAATATCAACCTAATCATTGATCAAGAATATTATCTTAACATATAAACCCAACATGATGATCCTAGGTTTTACTTCTGAATAAGTGAACAGAAAAGTCCTGAAGGAAAGGCCTCTTTCCCCTTACTTTGATTAAATACAGGAAAAGGAGGTGATCAAAATCCGAAGAAAGAAATGAACAATATTTTATTATATTCTGGTGTCAAAAATCATTTCCCCATGCAAGCATAGGTTGCAAACGAAAACGTCTGGGAGAATGTATTATCTGTGTTTAGGGGTTATTATTTTCTATGGTATTCTAAAGATGGTCCCCTTCCCTTACCATCAGAATTGGTATGTTCCATGTCAACATGATATGCAAACTGGCCTAAGGACCTATCTCTGGCCTAAATACCCTTTAGAGGAAGTAGGAAAGGAGATAGATGCAGGTGGGATGCAGCTAGTGGCAGAGAAAAGACTTGGGCAAAGTAAGAGAAATGGTAAGAGGCTAAAAAGAAGATGAAGCAAAGATGAATGTTGGATATTAGCCCTTCAAATAAAAGCATGAAAAGGGTATCCTTATTCCATCGTTCATTTTTAATTAGGCAGCAAAGGAAATGAGACTGATTTTACTTTCAAGAATATTGTGTATACTGAGGAATAAGCCAAGAATTATAGGTTCCAAAATATACCTTCCAGTGTAACTCAGGACCTGAATTCAGACTTTTAAAAACGTTTGCCAGGGCCTTACAACTGCAGAGTTTTATAAATGAATGCAACGCTTTGTAGTTTTGCAACTGTCAGGAGGGTTAAAAATTTGAAGGTCAGCTAACCAGAAGGGATGCATTTTTCATGGTATTTGGGTTGAAGTGTTGAAGGTTGGCTTATCCATGGATGGGCTTATCTGCCATTATCTGTAGTACTTTTCAGCCGCTTGCCATTAATTTAACATGCAAACCATGAAGGAGATGAGAAAGAGTTGTGGTGGCTGGCCTGTGTTTTTGTCTCCCAGGATTGTCCCAGGATTATCACTATCTTTGGGAGAATAATAAGTGCTCTGACATAGGGCTATTTTTTGTTGTTGTTTGGAGGTGGGGAGAGGTGCAGAGACATGTTTAAGGTGTTGGAGAAGAGCTGGAAGTCCCAGGTTCATGATTATGCTCAACACATGGTAAGTCAAGGTAACTTTCTCTCCGTCATGTTCTCTTGTAATATTGGGGTGACTGGGTAGGTGAGAGATGAGAAAATACCAGAAAAACCAATACAAAGGTGTATAGAAATTCCCAGAGGGAATAGCGAGAGATTAAACCATCAATGCTCATATAATACCTTTTGCCAGCTTTGGGATGGAGAAAGGGGACAGTCGTAACCGCAGCATTGGGTCCATATGGTTGAAGCCTGATATAGCCTTATAAAATGGAACTGAGGGAATACTTTTCTAAACAATGCATTTTTTTCCTACCACATGTTGCCGTGGAATTTGCCTGCATAGCTTAGGTGGCTTTAAAACATGATTCATCTAATTGACA